TAAGATAGGCAACACGTTTGAAATAATTTTTGTATGTGGGAAAATTAATATATATATACAATTTAAAAAATTTTTTTTTATGAAGTATGTTTCATGAATATATCTATATATGTATACATAGTTCTAGAATATTTCCTAACCAGGAGTATGTATGTATTTACATATTTATGCACGATAATGCTTAATATGCACAGAGGTTTCTAATATAAGTATAAATTATAAATGGATAACCAATTCACCAAGGACTTATTAAAATATTTGTCATAATTTATATATCTTTCAAGTCTTTAACATAAAATTTTCGTACATCATTTTCAAACAGTATAGTTTTCTATCAATTATTCTTTATTTACTCCGATTTAAGCTGTTGGCAACTTTTTTATGATAAAGCTATTATAAATTAAACAAGTAGTTGTTAACGGACAAAAGCTTTTTGTTACTGTCTGTTTACTTGGGTTCAGTGTGGCCGATTACTTTGAGTTGAATATGTACTTACAGTTAGTTATTATGTATGAGCATGTGAATTGGAATTTTGAATAACAGATCTGATGCTTACATAATTATGTATGTACGTCTGTTAACTATATAACATTGCGATGTATATTAGATTGCGGAAAAAAGTTGCATAATATTAAAACAAATTAATGTGTTTATAACGACATGTTTTATTATGCTATAGATTTTGCAATCTATTTTTTGGGTATAAAATATAAGTTACTTATAAAATAGATACACTATTCACTTTTACTATCATTCGTCAAATTCGAGGTACTCGCGATAAAGAAGGAACATCGCCATTATGAGATAGTATGTATACGCGCATGAGCATGCGTTATATATATATATAAATTAGATATAGTCAACGTCACCAGTATCCAGAGGCTGGAACAGAGTGGTTGGATCGTATCATAGGCTTGAACTTAATAATTAATAAAATGGCACCAAGTACAAAGCTTATTACACTTTCATCCATGTGTAACTTATTCAAAAACAATTATAATGTTACTACACATACAGTTAGATTATCTAGGTAAGACTTACATTCAATAACTGACTTTTTTAACCTTTGTAATACAGAATGTATGATATTACTGGTTATTTGAAAAACAAATACAAGTTCCAAATTTATAAATATTTTGTATCATGTTGAAATATTCAAGCCATTAATATTATTTTTTGGAGTAAACATATTGAAGAATTCTTTTTAATAATGTTTTAATTATAACGCAAAACATACTTCTTATAGTATACTTATTATTTAAAAATATGATCATTACATATAGAATTTATGGGTAATGAAGTGTATTACACAAATAATATGTATTAGTTATATGTTGTTATATTAGACACTGATATTAAGCAATGTATAAATTTTCATTTATTATCATTTACATATAATAATATGACCTACTAGCAAGTATAAAATATCAAAACTTAAGAAATTTATTGAACAACAATTTTTGTTTACACAAGTTTTTTATTTCAAGAAAAAAATATAAATATATTAGAATTGTAAAGAGTTAACATAACATTGTTTCTTTATGTTGTAGTTCATGGTGGTCAGGTGTAGAAATGGGACCACCTGATGCAATTTTGGGTATTACAGAAGCATATAAAAGAGATCAAAATCCCAAAAAGATTAATTTGGGAGTTGGTGCTTATAGAGATGACAATGGTAAACCATTTGTTTTACCAAGTGTCCGAAAGGTATATATTATGATATGTATTTTTAATGAAAATTTAGTTAAGTTAAAAACAATATTTTAAAAAAATATCGTTGATTTAATTATTTAATAAAATCAAATTTGTTGTAGGCAGAAGATAACATCAGACGTAAGGAAATGGACAAGGAATATTCAGCAATATCGGGAAATGTTGAATTTTGTAAGCACAGTATTAATTTGGCACTTGGCGAAGGTCATGAAGTAATTAAAAATGGTTTGGTACGGACTATATAACATTTTATTAACTATGAAGAAAAACAATTTCTACTTGATTATATTGATTATATTTTGATTATGATTATATTTTTTAGAATGCTACTGTTCAAGGAATTTCTGGCACAGGTTCCCTTTTTGTTGGAGCCAATTTTCTTTCTCGCTTTTTCCCAGGGTCTAAGGATATATATGTTCCAACGCCTACATGGGGAAACCATGGTCCTGTATTTAAACTTGCTAATCTTTCAGTAAAGACATACCGTTACTTTGATCCAAATACTTGTGGATTAGACTTCAAGGGTGTCTTAGAAGATATAAATGTTAGTAACTATACATATGATATTAACACATATTTTGGTATTTTCTATAAATTTGTATTTTTTGCAGAAAATTCCAGAGAAATCTATTATCCTCTTACATGCATGTGCACATAATCCCACAGGTGTTGATCCAAAACCAGAACAATGGAAAGAACTGTCAGTACTAATTAAAAAAAGGAATCTTTTCCCTTTCTTTGATATGGCATATCAAGGTTTTGCTTCAGGTAACATAAAATATTAAAATCTAAATTAGTAAATTACTACATTTATATATTAAGACATTATGTCTTAAATTACTACATTTATATATTAAGACATTATGTCTTAAATTACTACATTTATATATTAAGACATATTTATGTAAAATTTTAGGATCTATAGCGAAAGATTCTATGGCAGTAACAATATTTCTAGAAGATGGAAATAAAATTGCTTTAGCTCAGTCTTATGCTAAAAACATGGGTCTTTATGGTAAATACATACATTTAAAAGTAATTTATAAAAATGATCATAATGAACAAAATTTTAATAAATAGGTTTTTGTAGGTGAACGTGTTGGAGCATTTACAATAGTCGCTTCCAGCAAAGAAGAAGCAGATAGAATTATTTCACAGTTAAAGATTTTAATTCGACCAATGTATTCTAATCCTCCAATTTACGGTGCAAGAATTGTTAATGAAGTACTAGGGAACTCTGACTTAAGGCAACAGTGGCTTGGTGATGTGAAAGGAATGGCTGATCGCATTATTTCTGTCCGTCAAAAGTTGAGCGATAATCTAAAGAAACTTGGTAGCTCTTGTAACTGGACACACATTACAGATCAGATTGGAATGTTTTGTTACACTGGTCTTAAACCAAATCAGGTATTACATATGTTTATTCTTTTACTTCTTTCAAGTATAATTCGTATTATTTTTTAATTAAATTTCAATAATAATATTTGTTTTACAGGTAGAAAAACTTACCAAAGATTATAGCATTTATCTAACAAAAGATGGTAGAATATCCATGGCAGGAGTAACAACAAAAAATGTGGATTACCTTGCAAATGCTATGCATGAAGTTACAAAATAGTTCAATAGTTTTATCCATGATTAAAAAATTAAACCAAATTTTGCCTTGTTATATTTAAATACATCTTAAATACATAAAAAGTGATAGCATACAGGCATAAGAATCAAGTTCAATGCATTTTATCTTGCATGCTATTTTTATAAAACCACTGCAGGCAGTGTAGCCATCAAATAATTCTAGGTATAAATATTGAATTATTATTGTATTTCAATAATTAGCATACAATTGATTTTGTAATTGTAATGATTTATGATGTATTCTAAAAGTTTATATTAATAATTTTATTGTATATTTCCTCCTTAATACAAAAATACAATACATATTTTGCTTTCGGAAGTCGGCCATACTTGATTCAACAAATTAATAAACTTCAATATCATGTAAATAAATGTAAAATGTAGGTTTTACTTGCAATAAAGATAATTACAATTTATTTTTCTAACGACTGATTTATTTTACATAGAATTTATTTCTTTGTGAAGTGCATTTATAATAAGTATTTTACACTATAAGCATTATAGTAACTTGTGAGTTCGAAAAAAGTATTCAAGATTCAATTGTCTGCAAATCTGATACACAGTGAGTCGTCTGCTTTCAGTATATACACATATGTCAAAGTCATACTTTCATCTAAATTGATACGTTGTAAAAAAGTTTTGTTACTTATAAATCTTCAAAAGGATTGGAAGAAAAATATCATGAATATGGTAAAAAATCATGAGAATAAAATAAAAATTCGTAGAGAAATATGTTTAACGTAATTTATATTAAAGTGAGGTTAAGTTGTTTATCAAAATGGAGTTTCACTTTCAGTTCGGGTTTAATATGTTTCCGGAGATTCCACGGCCTTTTAATACTCAGTATAAATGCTTCTCTGTGTCGATGTTACCAGGTACATATCGACAAGATGTAGAACGTGGAGGAAAAAGTTAGTATGTTATATGTATGTCATCTTATACTTCAACCACTAGATAAATAAGAACACAGAATTTGTTATTTACTTATTTTCTTACAGTAATTATGCCACCTTCGGCTTTAGAACAGCTTACAAGATTGAATATTAATTACCCGATGATGTTCAAATTAACTAATAAGAAGACTAATAGAATAACCCATTGTGGTGTTTTGGAATTCGTTGCAGACGAAGGAAAAGTTTATTTACCTCTTTGGGTAAAGAATCACAAACATGTTCTTAGCTTTTAGAGCATTGTTTTGAATATAAAAATTACATTAAATATGCATTAGTGCAAAACAGTTATAAATTATAATATCATTCAATATATGATTATTATAATTTTATTACAGATGATGCATAATCTTTTATTGGAAGAAGCAGAATTAATAAATGTTGAAAGTGTTACTTTAAAAATTGCAACATTTTCACGCTTCCAACCACAGTCAGAAGATTTCTTAGATATTACAAATCCTAAAGCTGTTTTAGAAAATGGTTTAAGAAGTTTCGCTTGCCTTACAACGGGTGATGTAATTGCCATAAAGTATAATCAAAGAATATATGAAATGTGTGTCCTGGAAACGAAACCTGATCCAGCTGTTAGTATTATAGAATGTGATATGAATGTTGAATTTGCTCCACCCGTGGGTTACATAGAACCGGAAAAACATATTAAAAAAGATGAAGCTGTAGTAGACCCTGTAGATTTAATGCCAGCACCTGTAGGATTTGTACCATTTAAAGGACAAGGTAATAGATTAAATGGAAAAAAACGTAAAGATTCCGCTCAATCAGAAGTTGCTACAAACAAACCCACGTATATTAGAGGAATACCAGATTATGATTATAAAATAGGAACTCTTACATTTTTACATAATATGAAACCCATTAATAATAAAGAGGTAAAAGAGAATTTTAAATATAATTTATTCAATATCTACTTATTGCTGTGTATTGTTTATGCTATTCGAAATTATTGCTATAGGTAAAGGACCAGGATGAGTTTAAGGCTTTCACAGGTGAAGGTTTTTCCCTTAGAGAAGCAAGGAAATGATTAAAGAATTATCAGTCTATTTATTTTCTTATAATTACATACATTTGTAAAAGTGAGTATTCATATTTGTTATTAAATGGTTGTACTTTTTAATATAAACGTGTTACAGACGTTTTTAACCATTACCAAACTTACAAACATAAACATTAAACAAATTTTTTTGTTACATATAACGTTTTTTTTCAATTTAATGAATCAGACACGTATATACTAAATTTATTTTTAACTATTTCTATAAAATTCGTGTGTCCTTTTGAAAAGGGCTGGTGCGCAGTATCTTAATATCACAAGTTACAGGGTAAAACAATAACATGTTCAGTCTACTAGTGGACCCCAAAAGTGTTTACTGGGTCTTGCTGGATCTTCTGTCAAGAAAAAGTCACGTCCGAGTGATATGAATTCTTCGATACTGATTTTACCGTCATCGTTAGTATCAATATGACTAAAGGAAACAACTGCGTGCTGTAATAAATTTTATTACAATTAAATTAACTCTTTTATTCAAATTCCGTTGGAAAAGTTTGAATAGAAAATATATCATTTTACTTACATCATGTGTGAGATCTAAACATTGGAAAAATAATTTGAATTCTTCCACAGAAATTTCACCGCTTTGATCTTTGTCTACTGCCTGCAATTGTATAGTAAAGATTATATCCTTAAGAAAGGAACTTTCTGATAAATATTTGTTTATATGAACATACATAAATATTTTGAATACTTACTTTGAATAAAAACGGTAAGAAATGATGACATTTCTTTTTTAATGATGAGTCATTAAGAACGTGGTGCATTTCTTCCAAGTATTTTTCAATACAAATAAGATTGTATGGACTGATTTCACCCCATTGTTCCTTCCACATATCCTAAATGAATATACATATGTGTAAGTGCGTGCCGAATTTCTATCAGTGGGTAATTTTTCTGATGTTACATTTTCTATGAAAATTGCTTAGCATATGTGATCCATTTTTTAAATGATAAAGATATAAATTTTCTTGAGTATTAAAATAAAATTTTGAATAGCAAGTGGTATGAATAAATATTAAAGAACATAATATCAAAATAAATAATACCTTTTTTATATAATATTATATATGTATCTTTTACCAAGAGGCACTTTTTATTATTTAAAAAATTAAATAACTTACAAATAAAAGTAATTTATTATTGACATACACAAGTGTATGAAAATGTACCACAGTTTTAAAAAAGAATTGTAATTATTATTAACTATTGCTTAATTTCATGTATTTTCCGTTGATATTTAATAAGCATACAGGATACTTACACACATTACTTCTTTGAATTCAGTCTTAGCTTCTGGAGATAAATGCCCTAAGTCGCAAAATCGATCTGCAAGTAGCATGAAATCATCATAACTGATAACTCCATCTTTATTAACGTCCAAATGACTGTGTAAAGTACGCATTTTTCTCCTCCAGAAATGTGATTCTCCCTAAAAATTAATTTACTTATATTAAAAGTGATTATTAAATTATTGTTATTATTATTGTCATCATTGCCATTATTACACTAAACAAATTCTTTTCTATTGTTAATACATTTTTTGGAAAATTTTAAATGAAAGTTAAATGATTAGTATTTATTTCTCTCTCATTGGTCTTGGACAATTATTAAAGATTCACTAAAAATGTCAAATGCATCAAACTATTCGAAAATAAGTAAAATACGATTTTTAAAGTCACTTTACAGTATCGATTTTTAAACGATTAAACTTAAGGTAAGTAATTCTTTTCATTTTGTTTCATTTTGCAGCAGAAAAAACATTGTAAAATGAACAAATAAATATATAGATAATTAATCTATTTGTCTATATGCCTTTCATTAAAGTTATAATTTAATATTTTATAAGTTTAATATTTTAAATTAGACAAAGTTTATAACATTTATGAAATCATATTGTAATAAAAAATATTCAAATTATAATTTGTATATATTTTAGTAAAAATCACTAACGAAATTTTTTCATTTAATTTTTTTCATTTATTTAATAAAATAATATAATAATTAAAAGTTTGTAACATTTAACAGGTAGCTTTCAGAACAAAGTATAAGGAATAAATTTTCGTTTAGGTCAATTAAGATAAAAGCATTAATAATTGACCAGTTAAGAAAAATTTTCTGCGTGAATAATAGTAAACGTTTGTTCCTTTATTAAATAAGAGGACCCTATGATTGGAAATGCTGTTTGAACTTCTTACATTATGTAACAAAGCGAACTTTTTTCAAATAGTTACATTATTCAAAATTTATAGATATTTTGGAAAATTCCATACTTGCGTCAGACGTTGACCATCTTTTAAAACGAGAAAACTAGTAATTTACTGTAAAACCAAAAATACTAAAGAGAATTACTTTAATATCGTTTATTTGCAATGATTATGACAAATTACAAGTAAAAGGACAAATATGAATGAACAGAAGTTAATTCCACGTTAGAAATCAGAGACATATAACCAATGCCAATGAAATAAATTGTTAGTTTTTACGATAAACAATTCAATTCAGGTGAAAGTGTTTCGGAATTGGGTCAATGTATGCTGCAGCATATATACTGCACCTTTCTCGAAAGATCACGTTTTCCTGAAAAATGGTCAACTACTGATACCAGGTCAATTATCTTAACTAAAAATTAGTTTCAAAATAATTCTTTTGAATCAATAAAATATCATTTTATAAAATTTAATCAAAGTCCTGTCTATAACGTGTAGATATTATTTTTTAGAAAGAATTAGTTTATGGAATGACTTTATCAATTAACATATTTTTTAGTGGAAAAAATAAAATATTTAGGAAATTTTATATTAGAATGAAACCTATTAAACTAAAATAACACATACAGTCAATTTATAAAAAAAATGTATTCTATGTGAAAATAATTTTTCAAATTTATGACGTGTGTCATCGTATGATATACACGAAAAAAAATTTAACTAAACACTCTTTTATTATTTTATAAAATCACAAAAGATTATTGTATTAATAATAAATGAATGGCATTATTAAACAAAATTATATACGAAAATGTAATACAGATTTCACTTTTGACAGACATTCTAATATGTATTAAACTAATTTAAAATAATTTTGTATTATTTTAAATAAATAAAATATTATTTTAAATAATAAGATTTTAATTTAATTGTATTCTCCGTGTAAGTAGATTTATGGGTATAATTAAATTGTGACAACGAAAAAAAAATATTCGCTACAAATATAAATTGATTTCAAATACGAATATATGTAAGTGAAAGACAAAAAACAATCATTTTTTTCATCAGGTATATAGGTAGTTACTGCATTAAAATTTATGAAATGAGTCATTTGAATACGTTTGCACCACCATTACTGAGGTCAACCACTGCTTGTATAACGCACAAATTAATATAACATCCGGTATATATCCAGTTAAAAATTTGATTATATAAATACACAATAAAATATAAATCAAACACAATAAAGTATTTATTTAATCGTATTTTTTAACTAAATTACGAATATATAATTTAATAATTGTGATTTTTGTAGGTATTTATATTACTCAAGAGTCTACATTATTGCATGATATAATTACCGTTATGTTGTAATATAATCTCTGGTTAATCTAATTGCTACATAATTCATTCGACAACCTCCTACTTCTGATAAGCCGAAATTTGTGAGAGATGTATTTTATACCGATAATTAGTTTGTACATTTTCTTCATAAACAATTATTTAATTAAAGAGGAATAGACTAATTTTGTTGTTATTCCGTATTGACATATGGAATAAGAAAAATAAAGGAAATAAATATCCATCATTTTTAAACAGAATATTTAAACTAAATTCGATCTAATTTATACAAATTTTGAATCTCGGGGATTCACATAAGAACGTTACAGTTTTTACATATAACGCAAATGGTCGTTAAGATAAATTCAATGATGTACTATATAATGCTGTTCAAGGTTATGCGGGTGACAAAAGGAGGAACATGAAATATATTTACATTGAAAGTAGGGGATCGAATGGAGTTGGGGGACGTATCTCAAATATTGCTCAATTCTGTCCCGAATATCTGTCTCGAGTATACTGTGTTTTCATCGCACAGTTTATTTTGTTAACACGTGTCAATTTCCAAAATTATTTTGTTAAATATCTTTGAATTTTTTCGTACAAAAATTGTTGACAACAAAAACAAAGAATTCGTTTAATGAAACATGATAATGATATAACTACTACAATATAAAATTCATTATACATTTGAGAAATAATTTGAAACCATTAAATTTATGTTTAAAAGAATATATACAGTAAAGTAATGTTACGTGTCCTTTTATCATGTGTTACTCGAATGTAAGATTAATTAATAAAAATAAATTGCAGTATATGATAACAAATGAAGAAGCATGGTCTTACTCTTTCGTTGTCCGAGTCACTATCGCTTTCTTCTTGCTCGCTCGCAGTCGTTGAAATTCCTGTATGATGTACACTCCTTTTGCTATACATTCGTCGTATAATATCGAGATCATGACACTACAAACGAAACAAATGTACACACATACAAGTATTTGAATACAACACAAAATTAAATATTCAATTGAGACTTTAATTTACTTTGTTATTGTTGTAACATAATTAATAAAATACGAAGTGACTATTAAAGGTCATATCAGTCCAATGAACTTCAACGTGACGTGTTTTTATTCCTAGCTATTTCAAATATATTCTAGTTACAACAGCAAAAATTAAATGTAACACAATGAAACAGGTAAAAGAACTTAGGTATATTTTATTCATAAGGCTTTCCAAATGTTTGAAAATTTTCAATGTTTATTTCATATATACGAACTTCACGAATATATTAACAAAAATAAAATTGTAATTTTAATAGAATTATGTAATTACTTATGTTTAAAGTGTAAATTATTATAAAATATTATTGTTGTTTGACATAAATATTTATGAAAGCATTTGAAACAGGAGAAGTGTGTAAGTTGAAATTATTTGTATTGTAAGCCATTCTACTTGTAGTGAATAACATGCACGCATAAAGAGAAAGGCAACAAGTATTTGTTTACGTGTTACGACAAACATTAACAGTGGGTAAATATTTTTTTTCGTCTACGTGAAAAATTTAAAAATTCACACTACGGAATTTAAAGCATAGAAATAAATACAATTAAGCTTTTTCGCTACGGATATAGTATATCTACAGTTTAGAGAGTTAGTTAATAAAAACATAAATGATTTGATATATTATTAGTGTTTGATAAAATAAAATGTCTCCGATTTGTTTTTAGAACGTGCTTAATTTTTCAAATTTTGTTGTAATAAATAATAACTTTAAAATGTTTATTGTTTATAACATAAATGTCAATATTTACTTGCAGTTTCTGCTGCGGCAGCTGAATGTTTTGTTCGCCGGCCATTATTCCATTGCACAAAACTGAAATAGTTCTTTTTTCAAAAACTCCGTTTGATATCACGTATCGAAGACCCGTTCGTAACAACGTCGTTGCCATGTTTATTTGAAATATAATATTTCGTTTTCTTTTAGAAGTATTATAGTAATAATAGAATAAAACAGAATACTCCACAATCACTTAAAGCGAGTGCTACAACTGAGTCTAACCGGCACAGGAATATTGGGCCCCTTTTGTTGGGTCGGTAAGACATCCCTACTTTATTTACTACACATGCGCAGGAATGGTTCGTCTCCCTTTTTCTTGCTTTCTCTGGAATACGAGCGTTCGCGCACGTTCTTTTCTTTTTCTAGATAAAAACCATAAACTTATACAGCGATAAAACCCCGTCAAGGAGTTCGTAAAAACCAATAAAAATAAAGCGACACAGCAATGACGTTAATTTGGACATTTGTATTTAGATCACTGTTAAATAGTACACTAGTCAGATAAGGTACAGATCCGCCCTCGTTTACATGTTTGGAAAATAAAGAAAGATTAATGTAAAAAGATTATTGACTGATGTTTAAAAAAGTGTTAAAAGAATTAAAAAAACGAATTTACAAAAGAAGATAAATCATAACTTTTTAAGGTTACATAAAAAGCATGTAAAACTCGTGCCTTGTAATTGCATTAACAAGTTTTCGAATATAATAGAATCTGCAGTTACTCTGTATCCTGGGAGTTGAGTTTGAAACTACATTTTGGTGATTTGATGAATAGAATTATCAATGATAAATTGAAATATCATAAAAAATTAGACAATTTTTATATTTCTGTATATATATTCGTTGTGTGAATACTTTGTATACTATGTATATTAGATATAGTTTATCAGTTACGTGTATAATCAAACTTATCAAGTTTACTGTGATACGAAAAAATTCGAGGAACCACGTTAGAGATTAGTTGGAAACACGAGGATTAGACGTAAATAAATGTATGTAAATACAAAGAAGTTTCAATGAACCTCTAAAGTAGGTCACGTTAATGCGACATTTGATCATTCGCATGCAAATGCGCGTACGTGACTAACGACATGGATCGAACTACTCGATTGGAACGAATTCAAAATGTGAATATGTATCGTTGTATATACGATTAGAAGATGAAAAATAAATGTTTTTAATAGCTAATATAAAAATGCGTATAATACATTAAAAACGAATATTAGCCGAGAAATCGATGGAATTAATTATATTTTATTTTATTTACAATTAGTATTTTATACAATTTGCATTTTTATATAAGTGCTGATACTAATTAAAATGCACCTGAGATTTCATATGAACCATAATGGAATAGTATCAAAGTCATGTATATTATATAGACATAATATATAATTCAATACATTTGTATCATATATTTAAATTTTTATACAATTTTAACTTTTTTTGTATTCGATTCTTTCGACTTTTACTTCATCGCCAACAAGCTGATACACATACGTTACAACTGTTGAACTTTGAATATCCAGTAATACAAAGGATGGGATGACTGATCTGTAAAGTACAGAAATTCATCTTAAAATTGAATAAATTTTAAGTTCATTAATAACTATAAAATGGGCTTACGTATCAAGTGGATTATATGCTCCTGTTGCTGAACCAGGATTAATATAAAATTTATTTTCATGTTCATAGGCTTCAAATTTATGCGTGTGACCTGATATTAAAATGTCAACATCTAATTGTCTCTGAATTAAAGCTAACGATTCAGGATCACCCCAAGGTACAACTTGATGTCCATGCGATAACCCTATTCTAAATTGACCAACTGTGACAACTTTTTGTTCTGGGTAATTCAAATTCTAGAAAAACGATTAATAATAGATGTCAGTTCTAAATAATTATTAAAGCATTTAAAATAAGAAATACCTCATCAAAATCTCCTCTAACAACATGTACATCACTAGCCAATGTTTTTAAATAATCATACGATTCCTTTGTACAAAGATTGCCTGTACATAAGATGTGTTGTATTCGACCCGGCACTAATAATTTCTTAAATTTACTTGGAAGGCTACTACATCTATGCGGAATGTGCAAGTCTCCCAGTACTAAAACAAGCTATAATTCACATAATTATTTAATTATTTAATTTCTTTTCTAGTATGATAGATATTATAGTGATGAAAATGGAAAGGACTTATAGTATTCATTCAGACATTTATTTTCAAATAATAAGATTTTAGTAATTATTTGCAGTGGTTTCTCTGTGAAATAACCTTCACATCGCTGGAGGTTAGAATTTAAGGGTGAAATTGTTATTAGATAACTTGTACTACTAATGTTTGATTTTATTTGCTCACCATGGTTTATTCAGTGATATTTTTACAGCTGTTACAATATTTTAACGGTTAATAATCAATTTATTGCATTTATTAGGTATAGGACAGAATTGGAGAAATGTCAAACTTGGTACTGAAAGTATACATGACGACAGTCGAAGGAGTATACATATCGACTTTCGAGATTCGAGAGTATCACAATTTGTCGATGGTCTCTCTATCAATGCGCTAAAATATGAATTGTGTGTTCTTCTTCGTAATTTGTACTAATTTATAGCGTATACAATGTTCATAAATTTTACACAAATACATTTTGATTGTTTTGTTTAGGTATTATGAATGTTATGTTTATAAACGTATAAATTAACATTAAATATTAGTAGATGAAGTATTCAGCAACATGTTTGTTGCCGTAGACACAAAGTATTATGATTTTTTTTGGTTACCTTCTGCAATTACTTCTTAAATTAAGTGATACTTAATGCTAAATCAATAAGGAATAGGTTAATAGCATAAATTCAATATGAAATGCGTAGTACCAGGAGCAAATGTAAAAAGTATGTTACAATTTATATCATTAAGGTTATATTTCATGGATTTCCATCATACGGTGTATATTTTTTACTAAAAAATATATGCATAATAGTTTTAGCAAAAGCTATACATGCATTGGCAAAAATTGGAGATGAAATGTACATAGAACCTCAAAGCAATGCTATATCATTTCGTACTGTCAACATGGCAAATTCTGCATATGCTGATTTTACATTTTACCAAACTTACTTTTCATATTACGTTTATGGCGATTTGCAAGAAAATGATGCACTGAAATGCAAAATTTCAATGAGGGTAGTATTAAATTACTAAATTTTTTCATTTAATTTTATAAGCAATTCAATATTTAAATTTTACAGAGCGCAATGACAGTATTCAAAACTCCAAATTTAATAGATAAACAAGTAGAAACGTGTCATATTAAATTGGAACCAGATGCATCTGAAATTTTGTTTATCTTAAAGTACAAAAATAGTATTACAAAAATTCATTTATTACCTATATTGGACTGTGAAATATTACAGGTATGGTTTGTGTATCTCTATTAGCTTTTATATATTTATTTTTTATATTTCTTACTCTTATTTCTTTAGACTGCATATGATAAAGAGTCCGCAAAAAACCAACTTTTATCTCAAGCACGTGTATTTGGAGATGCAGTGCAAAATTTCCATCAGAACTTAATTGAAATCACATTGGAAGTTTCAGCACAGAAACTTTTATTAAGAAATTATGTGGATGATGCTTCAGGTAACTGAAACTACTAAATAATGATATATGATAATTTCATGTCATATTAAGCACTTACAATATATTCTTTAGGATTATCAAACACAACACGTACACAACTTGCACTTGGAAGAGGGGAATTTGATAAATACAATATTAACAGTGATACATCAATCACATTTTGTATGAAAGAATTCAAAGCTATTTTGAACTTTGCAGAAACAGTATTAATACCAATTAGCATATACTTTGAACAAGCTGGAAAGTAAGAAAGGAAGTTAGTGGAAATATTTATTCAGTTATGTATAAATAAACAGCCATTAATTATTTTCAGGCCAGTCATATTTGGTTTAAAAAATCCATCCTTTGATGGACATCTAATACTTTCTACACTAAGTTCTGATACAGATAGCCAAACTGAGACAACAATAATTGGTAAACAGGAAAAATCTGTTAAAAGAAGGACTGGGAATAGGCGGGCTCCTAGAAAGTCCAATAAATCTACAAATAAAGTAGAGAATAGGACAGTCAAAACTTTAGCAAGTAGTACTACTAAAGCTACTCATTCACATTTATCAGAAAAGAAGAAGCAAACGAACGAACATAGTTTTCACGAAAAAGATAATTTGCAACTTAATAAAAATACGAAGAGTAATCAAAGCAATAATAACATTAATCATTTTCGACTGGAAAAAGATAATCAAGAAGAATTTCATACTAATCCATCAACAAGTTGCAACACAAGTGCAAGACTTACTGAAACATGTACAAGTGGAAGAAAATTAGTAAATTCTGTGTTTTCTACAATTACAAAAAGAAAGTCTAGTAATGATGAAACAAATAAGCAAAGATTAGAAAATAGTGATAAATTTGATATGTTAGAAGATGCAATACCAAGTTCACCACCTCCACCAGCTAAGAAAGCCCGTTTAATATTTCAAAAATGTTTTCAAAAGACATTCGATCCAAGCACTTTGTCTGGATATGATGTAATTTTAGCTGAAGATTCAGATGAGTGTTGTAGCGAATAAAAATATTTTTTGACAGATATTTATATGTATTTATGTTCTAAATAAGTGTCCTTACAGGTTTATTACATCAGGCTTTATAAGATTCAAATGTATTCATGATTGATGCATTTAAATTAAACATGTATTATTGTTTTCAAGAACGATTTTTATTATTGAAACTAAAAATCTTATTTATATTATTCCCATCTAATCGTTTCATAGAATCTTGATATTACATTATTTCCATTTAAATATAACAATTGGTTTTTCCTAGAGATATTAAACACTCTAACATATGCCGGATTTCCTATATAGGCAGCTTTGACACCCCTGTAGGTAGTAATTTTTTCCATATTGTCTCTTAGTTTAAAATCGTATTGGGACAATATCTTTAATGAAAGTAACTAAAGTAAGTTAATGTGATGCAAATTATATCGTGTTTGGTCTTATTTTAATCAGAAAGATTTCAATAATACGTTCAAAGCATGTTAATGCAAGAAAAGTTAAAAATAAAAATATTGAACCGTCATTTTTATTATAACATCATTATGTGTAGTATTGTACCGATAAACTGGATTTTAAATTTCTCAGTTGTCTCGACTCTCATACTGTCCCCATTTCTGATCTATTGACAACTAAAAAGATGAGCCACAAAACTTGAAAACAGTATCCATTATTTCCAACAATTCCTTAGTACTTTAGTTCCAATTTGTATAATGATACAAGATATGATACTGTTAAGTAACTGCTAGGAAAGTGAAAGTACAATTAAATGATGCTGGCTGATAATTGCTATCTAGCAGAATCACATTTATATATAAGACATTAACGGTTAAAATGTTAATTACTGGACATAATTAGATATAACGTATGGTAAGTAAATATAGAGAGGAAACAAAATACAAAAATAAGAGATGAAGATTAATAACAGAGTAATAAATTTACTTTATTATTGCTATAATTGTCCCCCTGCTATAGTATTTCTATTATAAAATTGTAAAATTCGGAAAATTCTATGACTTCTTAGAGCAAAGGTTGAACTGCCTTCCCTTATACTAGTGACTCTCGATTAGTGTTCCCCCACTACCTCCACTCTAGAAGCTTTCAAGACTGTGTGTGTGGACATTTTATGTGGTGTTCAATATAAACAGGGTACAGGTAGGTGGGAGAGGATAACTCTCTGTGAGGGGAAAGTTCCTATGAAGTTCACAAGCTGACGGTTCGACACCTGTTATAGTTTATTCTCAGATTTAAATGCTTCTTTTTAAGACGCTTTCTTTCATTAATAAAAGTGATGAAAATATTGTACATTTTCGTTAAATATTTATTAATTATTAATTGATTATATAAGCACGATATAATAATTATATAAGCTCCACATGGACAAAGCGTCAGTTCTTTGAGTTTTCTTAGTGAAGTGTTAATGAGTAAAAAATGAGGAAATTAAAAAAACTAATTTTGAATGTGAGTACATTAACCACCATAGGATTTGGTGGTTATATTATTGGTAAATATTCGGAGCAAAAAAGACATTTGAATGGGGAAGATGAATGTCGAAACGGTATTTTTTCTAATGTCAACATTAAAGGAATGCCAGGTTTACCCTTATTTGGAACAGTTTCTGCGGCTACCGCATTTGTTCCTAGTGAAACTGAAACAAACATGGGTTCAAAATTATCATCAACAGCTGCAAGAGTATCTGAAGTGAGTTAAAACTACTTCAATTTTGTACATAACCTTAAGTTACATCAATGCTATGATTACTTATAATTGTTATGTAATTATAATAAATTCTTATATAAAAATTGTTGTGTATTTATATTTAGTATTATAAATTTGTGTTTCTTAATTAATGTGGAAGAATTATATTGGAAGTTAGAAAAATGTTTACTTTTTTATAGATTATGAAATATGGTTTTCCTGGATTAGATAATGTTAGATCATTTGAAGACTTTGTACTTTCCTATGATAGACGGAATAGGGTAGCGCATTGGGTATTTGAACATTTAACTAAGGACCGATTGGAATATAATGCTGAAATATCACGGAGTAAATGTGAATTTAAACCTGATCTCAGTATACATCCTTTCTTTAGGTAAATATTTCTACTTACCTATAAGTACAATAATACTAAGTATAAATATCAATAAATAATTTTTTAAAAAATTTTATTCAAAATTAGAGCTGACAACAGTGACTATAAACGTAGTGGATATGATCGTGGTCACTTAGCTGCAGCAGGAAATCATAAGTTACATCAAAATCATATAGACCAAACTTTTTATCTGTCGAACATGGCTCCACAAGTAGGTCGAGGTTTTAATAGGGATTCTTGGAATAGATTAGAAAAACATGTTAGAAGTTTAACTAAAATTTATAAGAATGTGTATGTGTGTACAGGACCTCTATATTTGCCAAAGTAAGTATTTTTTTAGGTAAACCTGTAAATGTACTGCCCTCACCAGTCTTGATGATTTTGAAATATGTTATTGGGCCATGGGCGCATCCGTGAGGGAGCATAAGGTTATTAAATCTATAAAGGAAACATATAAAGGAAACAGTTGTTCAACACCATGTTTCCAATAACATATTTAAGAATCATCAAGATTGGTGAGGGCGAAGTATATCGACTAGTTAAGTTTTTTTATATTTCTTATGTACATCTTTTACTAAGTAATTGTACAAATAATATAAACATGTTAATGTAGGAAAGAGGCTGATGGAAAGAAATATGTACGTTATGAAGTTATTGGTGCAAATCATGTAGCTGTACCAACTCATTTTTATAAAATAGTTGTTGGTGAAACAGATGATTTAAAATTAGAAATGGAAGCATTTGTAATGCCAAATACTCCCATAGATGATAATGCTCCTCTAACAAATTTTCAGGTATGTTGTTATTTTTGTAATACTATAGTTTGGAGATTAAAATACGATATATTAAACACCTTCAAAATTATTTGGAATGTGAACATTTTTTCTTTTTTAAATTTTTTCTTAATGTTTTTCACTTGTTTAAATTAGCTATTTATATATTGATAAATATTTCATTCATAAAACCTCGTACAAATGCAATTATAAATGAATAAACACAAATTGCAGCAACTTATCCTAATCTAAAATGTGATTTATATTAATACCATTATAACATGATGAAAATTAAGATTTTTATAGAAGTAAACAAAACAAAAAACAAAAGTGTTAGAAGATACAGTTTTAGATTTGTCCCAACCATTTATAACTGTACTTTATAAGGAAACAGATGTCAGAAACTTAATTTTTTCAAATAATGTTTGAAACTATATACATTTGCAGAGTAGAAATTTTATAATTTGGTTTTGAGATATTTAATTGTAGTATATATGATATTAGATATTGTATACTATAAACCTAATATATGTTTGCATAATTATGACAATATGTTTACTGTAGGTTCCCCCGGAAAGTATTGAGCGTGCGGCTGGTCTTTTATTCTTCGACAAGATATCACGTGATAAATTATGTAAAATAAATGGGAAAGTGAGGTAGACATAATAAGTGTATTTAAATTAGATGGTATAATGACACTAAACTTTTAAGAAAAATTAAATACAAATATAAACATTACATCTATTTTCTAGTCAAATTATAAATAATTTTAAGTAATGTATTTTTATATAATTGTATTGATATAAAACTTTCAGTTGAAATTGATATATTTTATTATGTGTACATACATGTATATTATAGGAAACAAATTCAACGATTTAAGTATTTTAAGTTTTATTGTTTTTGTACATTCAATTTTTAAAATTATTATAATTATTTACTTATATATCGCATGTTGTCACATTTTGTCATAAAATAAGTACTCATGTGAAAACCGCATGCACACATATTTTTGAATTCTTCTTAGTACCCAAAAATTCAGTCTTCAAGAAAATCTTGATGATATTTACTTTATAACATACATAGAATAAAAATTACAACTTAATAGTGTAATACGGTTGTTTGTTTTTAATTCGTGTAATAAATTTTCACTTGCTTTTGATTGATATCACATTACACTATAGAGCATATTGTTCATCATATTTAGTAAATGTTAACATGCGTAATATAGTGTGCTTGATACAATCATGTCAGTATCAAGATATGTTTATTAATTAAAAATTTTGTTTCTATAGTTCAGTATTGTGAATTTATGTGAATTCGGATTGAATAAATCAAACGAATAGTACGTTGAAGTTTCCGTATTTAAAAACAAAATGATAGTAATAACAGGACACGTTATAATCCTATCGATTGAGAATGATATTTTGTTTGTAATCGGCTACATCAATTATATTAACAGGCGAGAAAACATCTCGCTATTACTTTGGTCGTGGTAGTAAATAATTACATACCAAATAATATTCATTATTAAATACTATACTCATGTATAGACTGCGGATCTTTATGCAAATTCCTATTTTCATCGATTATTTGTAAAAATTAAAATAAAGGGAAAATGGATTTTGCCAACGAAAAGATTTTTTATGGTAAAAATAAAGTAGACACGTCATTAATATACATTTGTATTTGATAAATGTGCAGAGTTCGTTATAAGTGCATAAAGATCCGTAGTGTACTCATATAAAATGTTATTGGTAGAATCGTGTTAATTTCTTTAACTTACGGTCTAGTTTATGTACAAAATTAACAAGCGCGATAACGCTACGAAACGTGAAAACGCACCGACGATAAGTACTTTGCGAGTCAATACAGACACCCTTTATGATATTTTTACAACGTTCCAGCATCTTTGCCATAAGTCGTTATACATCTACGCTACGATATTTTATAACGACATCTGCATCAGCTACTTGGAGTCTAGCGAACAGTATGAGAATAATACCATTATGCTTGAGAGATCTCAACACACACACTCGAGAGTTCTACGCGTTTCTGAAATACGTACTCTTCGACGCCCAATATTCATTGCTTATAAATAAAATCTCTTCAAGTAGGGTAAGTTAGGCACTAAAATGGACGGGTCTCGTTGCCTTAAGAGCTTCTTCCGAGTATTGCTTGCATAATAAGGACACTTAACGGAGTTTTAAGTACACTTTGTGTAGATTCATAATTCTTTTGAATCAGACATACGAGCGATACTAAAACGTAAACAACTTTTTAAGAATTCTATGTAATTTTATGATTTTGCCAATTGTAACATGTATTTAACACGTCGACTGCCATAGGTGTCACCAATGACTAGCGCTCGAATTGTTAATGGCGCCTCTGTACTGATTGGTGATCGGCAATAATAAAATTCATTAGATGACGATAATGCAAATTAATTAAATAATTCGATGCAATGTTTTCTAATATTTGTCTAATATATTTAGAAAAATGTAGGAAAATTGACTGGCAGTCAACACGTCAGTATTGTGATTCCGATCTGATGTCGAAGTTGCGTTTAAAATAGCTCTAACGTGGCTCGTCTTTAGCGCCACTCTTCGGAATCGATTCTCATGTCTAGTATTGTTTGCTCAATTTCTTAGGTCAATTTGATGACACCGTAATACGGAGCGTGGACTAGAAAGCGCGATGAATCCTTATATGTTTTCACTTGCCCTTTCCAAATGAGTTCTCTTGCAAGGATGATTCTTCGAGGTTCTCCCCTCCAGTCGGTATACACCACCGATATACACCACCACTTTGCATATTTTCAAACGACTAGGATTTATAGACGCGGAACATTCGTGCCATGCTCCTTCGCCACGAGCAATTTTAAATTAATCTCTCTTCCGGTGGTGGCTTCATCACGTTGTCCATCTCAACGCGTGGATTACTGAATTCTTGAGCACTCGGACTGTAAGTTCCTCGAGTTGCTCGTTTCTTTCTGGCCATCATAAATAATGCGACTAACGAACCCGCTGCTACAAGAAACAGACACCCGATGATGGGGCCGACGATCACAGCTATATCGAGCGCTTGGCTCCCCAAAAAGTTTTCCGTCTAAATTGGAAAAAATAAAAACAAGAAAAATAATGAATTGCGAGAAATATGAACAAAATTCGGATCAGTTAACTTTTTAACCGTTTCAGTGCCACGAGTCTTCGAAAAAATCCGGGGGAAAAACGTCAAGTGACAAGACCACGTTTCTTTCCTTTCAGCTCAGAAATTGAATTTCGCTTTTTTATTTTTACATTAAAAAATTCGAAATAGTGCGATCGTTTCATTTTTCCATTTCCATGGTAATAACAAAAATGAAAATAAGCAATTAGAAGTAAACCAAATAAATAAATTTAATTTAATTCTGCAATCTGATAGGCTGGCACTTTTAAAACGGAGAAGCGCGATCGTGCCCCTTAGCACTCGAACGGTTAAAACAGACAAATCATGTTTGTGTTCTTAGCGTCTTTAATGATTTCGTATGGTAACATTACCTACATCATTTTGGGAGAGTAATAGAAGTAAAGAAAACATTGCTATATTCTCTCCCATTATCTTGAAATATTCCAAATTCTGTTTCAATGTATTTGAATTTGTATTATTTTTATTTTATTCGGGAGAGTACTAAAATATTCATATAGTTAATTTTGGAATATATGAAATACAAAACTATTATGATTGAAATTATTTATTAATCATACATTAAAAGATTTTAAATTAAAGAGAAAGCTGAATTGTTATAACTTCTTTAGCAAAAGTAAACTTTTATTTTAAAAATTATGTATTTTTATTTGGTAATGATTATAATTATAAATATTAAAAATATTGCACAACGTGTTTGTTGAAAAAGAAGGAAGAAGGAAGTTTTTTTCTACTTCATAGTGAATCTTACCTCTGTACAATTTTGCCCGGTGTATTCAGGAGTACATTGACACCTGTATCCGCCGTCATCTCCACACTTGCATGTACCGCCATTTTGACAATAATCCTGGTAAGTATAGTTCAAATTATGAAACAATAATATTGCTTTATAATTATGTGCTAGTAGTTTTGTTGAAATAAGGTAAAGACTAACATTGGTGAAAAGCACTTAAGGGTTATTGGAAACATGTTTGAAGCATTCGACCCTTTCATAGTGTAATTCTATTCGTTATTTAAAAATCTATGAATAATTATCAATAATTATCAATAATCTGTGACATAATATGCACTGATATTATGAAACTCCCCTTATCCCCTTCAGATCTGACGCACATTATAATGTACATACCTGTTTAACTGCTTTCGATATCTGATCAAATATTAAAACTATGATTGGCAACCATATATACATATATGTACATATGTATACCCTATATTTGAGCCCATTTTCATCAGAGGAGTAATATACTACTATATTTGATTAAAAATGTATGTCATTATACTGTGATGCATTGAATAGCAGTCTTTTAGACAAATGCATATAATTTTGTATGAAAATCAAATCCAAATGGGTTAATATGTTAATTATGACAATAAATCGGTCAGTGATAAGAACAGGTTCGATATTTATCGATTAATATTTTTGTATATACATGTAAATAACGACAATGGAATGTATAATTATTAGGAGTTGATTTTTGTATTTGAGATTTGGGTAGTATCTTCTAGTCGAAAGTATTTTTCGACATACCGTAACGCTTGATACTAGAACTGTCAAGCATTTATTGGAGTTGATCTGTAATCCTTATAAAGATTGTAACAATACATCTTTTTTTCATTTCTTTTGATATTCGTTATAGTATTTAAGTGAAACTATTTTTTTTCAAAATCATTTCGAATATTGAATACTTTTAAAATATCATTAATTGTAAAATAAGAAAACTTAAATCTGTTATTTTGATGGGTACGGTAGTCTAGTGCTAAAATCTTGAAATTTTCAAGCATTTCAGATTTGAATGTGATTTGTGTTTCAAATAAGTAAATATAATAATACTATATTCGCAATATGACTTTATTAGTAAAAATTTATATTATCTTCGATTGTATAAAACATATTAACGATAATATCACGAACGTGGTACGATCAATTTGAAACACAAGTCTCAATTGAATTTCAGGTACTTGAAAGTTTTAGAATATCAAACTATGCGTAGGAAGATATTCTCGTAATTTCGTTCAATTTTCTTCCGTAATTTAATCCAAATACTTGAGTCCTAATGCGTGGAACTGTATTTCTGCACATGCTTAATTATGAAAGATACTGCTGTATTAGAAATGAAGTTTCTTATCTCATTTAGATTTTCAATACCATATAAAAAAATCAGAAAACTAAGTAAATGAATTTATCGATATATAAAACTAAGTGTTTAGATATTATGCGTTACTATAGAGGCTTTCCACTAGGTGATCTAGAAAAAGTTAATATGGTACTTCTCTTTTCTCTAATTTATTATACAGAAATAAGTAAATATTATTGTAACTTATTTAACTGTTACTTTATTCATACTAAATTTCGTGAAATGTTAACTTTATTAAATTCTTTGAAGTGATACCGCTAATAGAATTTCAAAAACTCACAATTACAATTGTTATTTCTTTCGAAAGATTGATTAAAAAATCCTTAGCGATAAATTATTAGTTTCAAAAAAATTATTAAATAATATCCAATAGGTGAATTGTTAATATTTTTAATTCGCGTGTCACGGCAGAGCAGTTCATATAGTGGTATATTTTCATGGCCAGCTTGGTTGTAAGTAGCTAATCCATTTGCATCATACGACAGAATGAGAAATATTCTATTATCGCTAAATTCTCTTTCTTTTACTATATTTGAATGAATAAGATGTAGGAGTTAATTCATAATATAAAATCGTAATAGTATAATGAATAATAATAACAGTAATAATAATATTGTAATATGGTAGTACTGATTGACTATAATAATCTAGTCTAGAAGCGTCTATACAGGGTGTTTGGAAATTGTTGCGCACAAATGAAAGGACGTATACAACTCACTAAATTGAGTGAAAAAATCCCAGTAAACATGGATCGAAATCTCAACGGTGTCCCAGAGAAAAATAGGTTTTGTTTGAAAAAAATGTATGGGGATCGAATCAAGAACAGCGAATTATCTCGAAAAATATCAGTGATACAAACAAATATGTCAAATAAAAGTTACAGAGTGTGAAATACTACATTTCACGGCTGGAGGTATTTGACCATAAAGTGACTTTGAAACGCCCTACAAAGGTCACGTTACAATTCTTGAATAGAACCTTACAATTTCTATTGCAAATTTTAGATAACGGCATTTAAACGTTTCCAACTATAGAAATTCAATTTTTCGCGTAAGCCAATATTAAGGTTTAGCCACTTTGGATGCTGATATCTTGATATCAGCTTACGCGAAAAATTAAAAATTAAAAATTAAATATATATATATATATATATATATATATATATATATATAT